CGCCAGGACGAGGGAGAAGAAAAGGGAAGCAGGGGAGCGTGTAGGACAGTCGTTAACGAGCGACTCCGCGCGCAGAGTTATTCTCTCTCCTTTTCGCGCTGTACCCTCCTCTTCTCTCTTGCGACCGCGAGAGCTCGCGGCTTGCGACTAAGAGATGATTTCTCCCTGTAACGTCGCCGAGGATCGATTCCGGTAGCGGTGCCCGCGATTTCCGCGTTACTTTCTCACGCGGAGAAAGAAACAATGATCGAAATCGCGGAGATACGAAAATTATGTGAGTCATAAAAATGTTCGCATTTTATTTAATTGTTCGAGTATTCTTGAATTTCATTTCGTTGTCATCTCTAAATATGTAAATGACGTCGCGTTTGCAAAGTTAATGATAACCGTGTGCGTTACGAAGATGTGAAATTCACGTTAAGGCGCGCGTATCTAAACGTATGAAAAATACATTTTCTCGTTATATTAATACTCGCTTTTGCCAGGCACATTTAATGTTAGTCATGTTATATCTACTCTCTAAAAGTTAATCGGTGCATTATCACTGAACAACTCGAGTATAAGTGTGAATCGGCGAATATTCACTGCAGTTTTCAGTGCTAATCCAATGATTGACTTTTAGAGTGTACGTCATTAATGCTTCAAATTATATAGTAAACGAGTATTAAACTGCTTTACCTATTCCGCGCGTGCTCTCACGAAACGGCAGGTCGACGCCATATCGTCGACGTGAGCGCAATGTTCCACCCCGCGCATGTACGCGCAGTTATAGATAGATAGCCACCCTTGCGCGTATACGAGAGCGACAGCGGAGAAAGAACGGGTAAGGAGGGATGGCGAAAGAGAGAGAGAGAAAACCGAAGGGAGAGGAAGAGTTTGAAAAAAAAAACGAAATTTTCCCAGCTGTTCGAGCCGGCGTTTTATCTTCCTGAAGGATCAAACATGGCGGACGTCGGTCGCCACGGGAGGGAGGGGGTTGCAACCCTTGCTATCTGCCTGATCGAAACCTCGCCGTCGCAGGAGTTCACGGCGCACGCGTGTGCGTACGTGCGTGCGTGTGCGTGTGCGGAATTTCCGTGTAGCTCAACACGCGCACACAGGAGGAAGAGGATACGAGCGTTGGGCAATATATGCCACGACTTTATTATATACGGGGTGGTGGGCCGCGCGCACACCCGCGTGCGTATACCTGGTGGCCGCCTTTTGTTTCCCAGATCGTATCTGCGCTCCGTTTTTCGGCGACACATCTGTGATGGATTCAAACCGGTCGACGCACGCTAAAAATGAAACATATTGCGATAGAGGCATATGCCTTTGCGCGCGTTCCCCTTTTTTCAACCGAGATATTTGGATACGCGAGCGGTTAGACCCGACACCGTGTTAATCGCACTTTTTTTCTTTCGGAAACTAACCAAGCCTCTCTCGCTTTGCACGTAAAAAGAATTAATTTCTCGCTGCGAGAACTCGATCCCCCTGCGACACGGGAGTGTCGGATTTTGAATTTTCGTTCGTTCGCGCTAAATGAAACCACCGGAATTTCTCGCTGCATTTTCATAGACGGAGAGAATTTTTTCGTAAAATTTACCCTGAAAGTCTTGCAATCGTGAAACAACACGGCATTTCGAAGAATTTCATGAGTTTTTCGAAATGTTACCACACATTTTACTAGTAGAATGTATGGAACAATTTCCAAAAACTCTCATAAAGGTCTTCAAAATGCCATATTGTCCCACGATTATATGATTTTCAGGATAAATTTTAAGAGAAAATTCCCTCCGTGTATCCTGCGGCGCTTATTGTTGAATAATAAATGGACCACGTTTTCATAGCGGTTTTTCCCCTTGCACGGAATGCTCCGCTATTGTACGCGGCACCGTTTACCGAACGGGGTCGATCGATCGCGAACGATCGGCCGTCATTTCGCCGGGACAATCGGGGGATGAATTTCGGGGCTGAGTGGCAGCATGAATTTTTTATCCGGAAGTAAACAGGGACAAGTAAGCGGCGCGTAGCGTCCGGGAAAAGGGGCCAGGAGGGGGGGGGGTAGTCTGGAGCTCTCGCGACGGGGAAAATTACGGAAAACGCCGAAAGTGTCGCACACGCACGTGCGTACGCCCACTGCTTTAAATCGATACATATTTTATCGACCGGCCGCGTTTTTACGCGGGGCACGTCACGCACGCACACCGCACGCCGCGCCGCTGCGCGTGCACGCGGATGAATGATGGGTGGGCGTGTCGGTTCATCATCGCGTCGGAATATTTGTACGGGTCGTCATGGCGAACTCGCGAAACGATTGCCTTTGTTTAAACGGCGACAGCGAATGAATTATATACACCAGGGCAGGGTGTGTACTTGGGATGTATATAGACTGTCCCACCTCCCCGACGCGTTAATGATTGATACCTCGACAAATTTCGATCTTTCTCTCTCTCTCTCTCTCTCCCCTCGTTAATCTCGACAGCCGAACAACTGCAGAAACGTACGCACGCGTAATGTAATCAGAGATTTACGGTGCATTATGAATATTCCTCGAAGCCGCTTTTCTCCCGAGAAACTGCGCAAAGTTTCGCGCGGGCTCGATCGAGCGAAATCGCAGCGAGCCGCGCGCACGTTTCACGAAAGAGTGTGATCGCGATGCGTTAAGCGAGCAACGGAAAAAAGTATAGCCGCGGAAAATTACACGGTGTTGCGAGGCGGCGATGCTGTTTGTAAAACTTCGTCAATTAACGAACGCATGGCGTGCGGCCGGCATATAATTACTCGCGAGACGACGCCGGCCGGTGAAAAACTTTTGAATCCATCAGCCTTGCTCTATCGCGCACCAGGGAGAAAGTGCGATAACGAGAGGGGTAGTGAAACGTCAATGCACGCCTCTGCATCGGAGTTATGCATCCGTTCGCTCGCCGCATCTCGGGGCCGCTCTCGACGAGACGCCAGCCTTTGGCGCGCCGCGATCTCTCTGCGATCTGAGAAACGGAGGGTTGACACTGACAATGAGGGTTGAGAGTGTGCCGCGGGCACGTCTAATTGGCCCGCCAATCTTTCTTTTTCACGGAGATTGCATGCTCGACCGTCGTGATACTTTCGATCGCTTAACCGACGTTGACACGCACGCGCTCCGCGAGTCGAAAGACATCTCGAACGTGCTCTCGCATCGCGATTTAAAAATTTACGATCGCAGAGCGGACAATAATATCGCGCATCGCGCGCCGGAAAGTATTAGCCTCGCGTCATTGCAAAAAAAAGGAGGAGGAGGAGGAGGAGAGTTCGATTTCGGTAATACGCGATTAGAGAGACGGAAAGTGTAAACCATAAAACGGACGTTTCGTGATCGATTCCGCGAATTCTCGTGAGTGTTTAGTCAGGTCGAATCGCAGTCGGGAGGAGAGTCCGAAACGATGGAAGAGGAAGCAGAGCCGGTGGTATCGAGTTTCCGCATCGGTACTTCGGACGAGGCTGCTCCATCTACATAGGTGCTAGCCGAGTCGCCAAAAATAGATCGAGTTCACACGAATTCTACGAGCCGATCGCACGAAACCTCCGGCTACCATTCGTGATATCGATCGAACGGTAGCGACCTGATACGTACAGAACGCCGCGGCCGCTCGTAACGCGCCACGGTGAAAACCGCGTATCTAATGTTTTTTTTTTTATAGCGCGGATAATGCGAATTTATAGCTCGGCTAACGTGTAATTAATAGATTCGGTTTTAACATTTACTCGACTTGTTTACAAGGTTCGCTCGCTCGCGGAAATGCACTCGAGCCTGCGATTAGTTCTTGAAACGCTCGATTTAGTCCGAGCTTGAGAGATTCATATCTCGGCGTGTCCGAGATTCGACTTGGCCCTCCCTGTCGCGCGTAGAAATTGCACGTACAAAGGCCGAATCAGACCAGCAATCGCCGACTCGCACTGGACTGGGATTGACGATTGTCCTCTAGCCAGTGAGAATCGATTAAATCGCTGGATGCATTGCTCGCGTTGGAAGACAATCGCCAATCCCAATTGTTAAGACGTCTTTATAGCAGATTGAATTTGCCTCGTCAAGAGTATAGGGATCGATAGTCTCGAGGAGGCGATTGGTTTTCTTTTATTTTAGAGAGTAGAAGTTTAGATATTAAGTGTAGTATGGCGATATATCAAATATTCAGTTTATTATATGCAGTCCGCTGATATCCAAGGGGAGAGCGGGTTCCTTAATCCTTTGGCGTTCACGAGTCAGGAGAATCCATAACACCAATCCAATCCGCGTCGACAATTGCTGGTCCGATTCGGCGTTAAAGTACGCGCGCACGCGCGGTGAAATTTATCCGGGCGTCGCATCACTTCCGTTCGAAACGGTCAAGATGTTCCCGTGGAGCGAACCTCCGCACGAAAATCATCCGACCCGCCATCATCGGGCGCGCCGCGATACGGGGCCGCTAATCACAGTGGAGAGGAGCGGAGCGTATATTAATCAGCGGGTACAGGAAATTAACTTGGCCTTGTTTTATCTTGCATTCTGATTACTGTATCTACACACCGCGAGAAACGCGTAACTTGGTTCTCTTTGCCGTATGTACGTGCTAATTAAGTATGTGTGTCTCGCTTGCGCGAAGGAAGCGATCAAGGACGCACTTTAACGAATGTGGTGTAGACAGTCGACAGGATTTCCCCCCCCCCCCCCGAGATTGAGGTATCAATACACGAAGTACTATCGGTAACTGTATCGCGAATTTACCATGCAAAATACTGTGCATTTCCACGCCATTTTTCAACACTTTACATAATTCTCTACTCGATCCAACCGTAATGAAATAGATATGAATTAACATAAACGCACGAGTGTTTACCTATTAATCAGAAATAATGTCGGCGTAAAAAATGAAATTGCCTTCTACTTATTTTTATCTTTGTGTCGTCTGATTAGTCGTTTTTGCCGCCAAGGTTGACGGAAATAATCGCACGGCCGCTCGCATTGCGCTCGTCGAGGTACTTGACGCAGCTTAGGTACTTACCAGGCGTCGTTTCGGCTTGATGAGGGGTCGATTCTGGCCGTTCATCTTGTAATAAAGCCCGCAGGCGTTGCAGAGGTAGTGGCCAGTGCCGTCTCGTCTCCAAAGGGGTGTCGATGTGGCGCCGCAATTCACGCACTCGCGACCCTCTACCCCGACGGAACGAAAATCGTATTAATTCGGCGCAGCTCATATCGCACAGCAATATTACTCGCTCGTGCTCGCGTGCGAAACGCGAGATCGTACTCGTCAAAGTGGGAACCGCTCGGACTACTCTTCGAGAGCTAACGTTTCCCACGCGAACACGGAAGCACGTTGATCGCGCGAAGGGGCACTCATCAGTTTTTTGTTTTTCAATCTCTCGTATATTACCTTCAAGAATTGTAAAAATGCGAAAATGCCACCCTCGTATCCGCTCTACTCCATTTATCTTGCGTTATTTTTACAATTTCGCGAAATGGCATTGTCTTCGACCAGTTCTTCAAGTTTTACATTACATCGAATGAATATGTAACGCGAATGCATTACGCGGCAAGTAACGATATTGGCGTAACAACATCTATATCTGACTTCGGTCAACCAACGTGCGTTTACAGAGAGATTTGCGAACAGTCAGGTGACTCGTGAGAGAGAATTCGCATGCAGAGTTGCAGACATACCAATATCAAGCGATTACCAGAGCAAAAGCAGAGTCTCTTTAAGACCATGGGCGTTTTTAGGATTCACGGATCGAACTTACGTTAGTGCGGTTGGTTAGTCCCAAGGACACTGCGAGAGAAAGAAGCGAATATGAGAGGAAGAAGGATGGGATTTTGTTCGCGATCGTTCGTTTCTCCCGGTCTATGACCAGACGGCATGAAAAACGGTGTTGCTCGGAGATTTTCAAATTTATCTTCCAAATGTTCCCGGGGATCAACGTTAATCCCCGATAGAGCGCTCTTTCCCGCGGGATTAACGGTGGAAAATAAATTTCGATCTCTCGCAACGCGCGACTTTCGGACGGGAGAGAAGAGAGGGGTGGGTCGTGGAGATAAGGATCACTTCTCCCGAAATGCGCGTTTCACGAATCGTCCTCCGAGCTGCGTCCTCCGCGAAGATATAGCCGAGTTTAACGGCTGATACTGAAAATGATTGCTATTAAATTGCGTCGTCGGGTCCCCCGTTGACGTACGAGAGACCAAATTGTCGATTGATACGCGATCGCACAATTGAGCCGATTCGAGGTAAAGGTAAAATGGTTCCGTTCACAGTGGCTGCTGAACGATCTTAACGGTGCTCGTAAAAACCACCCTCTGACTACCCTGCGATTAGATCAACTCTGTCGTTGGCGTCTATCGCTAGTGTGCAGTTTGATTATTGTTAAAAATTTGTAGTGTAATTTATCCCGCGAGATACATACGGTTTTACGAAGGGCGCGGCGATTGAAAATCGCATCAATTCCGAAAAGATGTCGTGCCGATGATGGCGAGATATCGATTAAACGCGCGTCGCTGATTAATGACTCGACCTCAATTTAACGCGAAATTTGACGGCGGTGGAATAATTCTAGCACACGTAACGTAGGTCGCATGTAATTGTCGACACGCGAGCGGCTCGTTTGCGAGTCCGCCACGTAGATGAATCTGTAACCGAGCAGTCGAACGCCGGACTTTTCGTCAGGCTTGTCGTACACGCGTGTAAGACGCAATCAAGGAGCGCGAAGCATCCCCCAGATCCTAGCGTGAGAGACTTAACGCTCGCCTAATTGTCGTTTCGGTGCCCAGATCGATCTCGGAACTAACTGGAGGGACCCGCCCGAGTCACTCCTCGGCATTTTAATTCGATTTGGATCTTACGAGCCTGCAGATTCTGGGGGTGATAAGGAGCGCCCACGACTACCGTCGATCGCCGATTGCTGTGCTCTTTCATGCCGACAATAACAGAGCATAAACGCGACCAATTTTCATCCCCTCGCTGCTCTCCGATTTCATTTCGACGACGCTCCGGTGATTGCCGATTAAATCCTGATCTCTCTAGTAATGTATTATTTTGTAATTGACATCCTCGCTTCATTCCAAGTCTCATCCCTTTGTGGAATAAATTTTTGGCAATTTACTTATTATCGATCGATCGCGTTGACAATAGAAATGGTCGTTTCATCGTTTCTCGGGATCGTCGGTAATAATTTCCGGCTGCGCGTATTTTCTTGTATCAATGCTTCTCCGGGTATCGATCGGTTCGTAATGACGGAACGGGCGGACGGTTTCTGACACCGACGTAGACGATGGGTATCAGCCACGAAACGGTCGAGGTGACGCTCGTTTGCGTCGTACTCGAAATATAGTCCTCGTGTCAGAAGGTGACGCTAAAATGGCCGGTTTCGCCCCAAAGGGACTGGTATTGCTCCCATTTTCGACATCACCTCCGACCTTAATGCCAGGCATGCAACGAAGCGCTCGTTAGAGCCCCGCTTCCGTTTCAACTTTCTCGAAGCTTTCCGGATTACAACGTGAAATACTCGGTATAACGGTGTATCGTATCACGGCAAAATTTCGCTGTAAAATTTGGAAACGTCCCCCTTGCTCTTACGATTCCAAACGTACACCGAACCGCACCGAACGATTAAATTTGGAGTTAAGATTTTTCGCTTCGTTGCATTTCTTTTTCTCTTTACTTTTATTACGTACACCAAGTGGTTTGCGTCGACAACAAGTTCAGAAAATATATTCCCTCGCGTTCCACAACGTTCGTCGTCGCAGGCACCTATTGTTGATGCAGAAACAAAACGGGCGGAGGCTATTCCGGGCCAGAAGTAGACACCGGTGGTCGTTGGTGCGCGAAGAAAATCGGCGAGGTGGAGGAAGGAAACCGCCGCTTGTCCCGTGTACCGCTTCTGCCATCAACGGTCGAGTTATGATTCAGTACGAAGCGGCGTTCCGTCACGAATTTCGCGCTGGCCCACGGCTGACTCTCTTCCGCCAATTGCGTGCCGTCTCCCTCCCCGCTAATTACGCGGCCGTAAGTCTGCGATCCTTTCGAACCTAACAGGACTTTCCGCGAAGCTTCTGCTCCTCGATGACTTTCTGGTCGTCGACTCTCGCTCGTCGGCGTCTCATTAACTTGGTTCAATTGCAAGCGGCTACGTTAACGGCTTCTACTTTACCTATCGGCGTTGCAAGGTGTTGCGTCGCATTTTTGAAAATTGTTGGCCCAATGAGAAGGTTCGCCGCCCCCGTCGCTCATATTAGTATCTCCAACGTATTCGACAAGCTACCGTAATGTTACTGTTATCATTGTCCACGTGTCTGAGCGATTCAGTATCGACGTCACTCGCCGCTTTCTCTGCCTATTTATTAATTATACTTTTCCGAGCTATCAGAGTCGTCTCGCTGCGTCCGTACGGAGAGGGAATCTCGAGTATCCATCAAGTTTCTCGTTCCACCTCATTCTCACCTCCTTCCTATCGCGAAGGATGTTTGCCAATCCCGTGTCTACCGCCTCCTTTTCGTGCCGCGAGGTATTGCTCAATCGACACCTCTCAAGCGTCACCTCGGCTGACGCTTGCTCGTTACGGGAGCCATTTTTCGTGGCCTTCTCACAGGCGATTTTCTCGGCGATCGCGGTAGGCGTCGCTAAACGAGCCGCCGGTGCCGCGGCTCCGTCTGGCTTCTTCTTCTTCGTCATCGGGAGGTTCCGCGCGCGGCTAGCTGGTGTGTGTCGTAAGTCGATTCAATTAGCGGGCTTCCATGCCGCGAAGCCGGGGGCCATTGTTCCCGGAATTGGGATTTTTACCACGCCGCCGCCGCCACCGCCACGCTGGAGTGCGACCGGCTATTATTACCGCAATCAGCGTATCCGGCATTTTTCAACCGTTTCTCGTTTCCCCCTTCTCCCTCCCGCCTGCCTCCACAGCTTCATCCACTTCGACGACGACGACGACGTTGACGACGACGACACATAACGGGCGCCACCGAGAGGACGTGCGATTTCCCAAAAGTTCGTCGATCGCTCGACAATTCTTTCGCACATTCTCGTGGCCATCGTGTACTTCGCGGTTATTAATTTTGATCCGCAATTGTCCGCGAGTCCGCGACGAATGCGACCCAGCCGCGTGTGCTCGCGCCACGTGAGAGAAAATAAAAATACGTATTTGCCGAGGGTACGCCACCGAAAAATGGTCCGTGGACTCTTTGAGAGGGAGCTTTGCCGTGACAAAAACAAAAATGCAGCGCTAGCCACACCACATCGAAAAAAAACCTGTGCTTCTTCGCATTAATTTGTCCTTTGCGCATGTATGTGTGTCCGTGTGAGTGTGTACGATGTGTGAGAGGGGGGGGAAATTGAGTATGCGTATTCGTATAGATAGGGATAGATACATATATCGTGTGTCATCTCGTAAATCGGGTGTGGTGCTTCACGCTCGCTCTCTCGAGTGGGTGCCACGCAAAAAACACATCAGTGAGGCAAAATACAAAAAATCACAATCAGTGCCTCCCTCTCTCTTTCGCTTTCTTTCTATTGTGACACAGCTCGTCCAAAAAACGAGAGAAACGGGTGGAAAGAACGTGTTCTGAACGAACGTTAAGCGTAAGACGACCGCCACCGAAAGCTCACGGTTAAAATCAAAGTGAATAAAGAACAAAGGCGCGTAATGATAAAACAAAATTAATAAATATCCCGTTTGCTTCCTCTCTTGCTCTTTTACGTGTTCAGCCGAGAGACTTCCGAAATGCTGCCGAAAGACGCACCGCGTGAATATCGAGCGAGGGAGGATACAAGCGAGAGAAAAATAATTTCTAACAAAGTAAACGGATAATACGTTTGAAGTTAAATGAAACTGAGAATTAGTAAGTTTAACGTAACAAGAAGTAATGTTATAAAACCAGGAAAACAGAGAAACGCATTGGCGTCGATTACGTCGAGTTTATATAAGTTGCACCAAATATTGTAAGTCAGAATCTTCAATAATGCAATATAGCATTAAAAAGTGAGATCAAATAAAATAAATCAAATAAATAAAAATTAACTGAAATATTTATGTATTGATATATTAAGTTTCAACAATCGACGCCGGTGCAAAGAAGCGGAACTAAAGATGCCGAAGCAAACAATTATGCAAAGTAACTGATAAATAATTCAAGGAAAAAAAATCCAACGTTTTATATACGGGAAAAATATTTATCAGTTTCATTCACAGGACGTGCCTTGGACTTGATGATTTTTTAAATGATAGAACAACGCGATAGTATAATTACAAAATTAAACTTGTTTACAGCACGAAAGATCTTAGTGCTCCAAGTCTCATCCCCAAGATTTTAGGATTTAAAGGGACTTTCTACAACACTTTTCCCGCATGGAAATGTAAGCAAAGAAAAGAACAAACGAAATATTCGAAACTGAGGATAAATTTCCGAGATGAAAAGAAAGACAATGGAAAAAAAAACGGAGAACTGAATGAAAGAAACAGAAAGAACCGTGATAGGCGCGTGCCGCTTACCGGCGGACGTCCTCGACTTGTTCCTCGGCTTTTGCTGCTGCTGTTGCTGCGCGGAGGGCGAGCCCGGTGTGTTGCCGTGCGCGGCCGCGTGACCGACTAGCAGCTTCGAGTCGGCGCCGCCGGGTAGGCCGCCGGTTAGGCCGCCGGTTGCGTTACCGGCGCCGGCACCGCCGGCATGGTGACTGAAAATACCGGCGACCGCGGCTGCACTGCCGTTGTGCGGATTGTGGGACGACGCGGTAGACGAGGTGGCGCCGTGATGATGATGATGGTGATGGTGGCTGGTGGCGGGATACTGCAGGTGCTGGTACATATTGTACGCGCTCGCGGCCGGGTCGTACTGCGAGCCGGAAGTGGCATGGTGGCTGTTGGTCGCCGCCGCGACGGCGGCCGCGGCCGCGGCCGCGTAACTGTCTCTACAGGGCGAGGCCGCGCCGCCGCCATTGCCACTGCCGCCACCGCCGCCGCCACCACCACCGCCACCACCGCCGCCGCCGGCAGGCACACCGTTGTTGCTCTGATACGCGTCCTGTTGCTGTTGTTGCTGCTGTTGCGTGGCACTCGCCTGTTGGCTGCCCGTCACATTGCCAGATTGGTTATTACCTTCTCGCTGCTTCACCTGGCCGGCGGACGAGCCGTTCGTGCCGGCGGGACCATTGCTGCCGTTGTTGGAACCGTTGTGTTGCTGATGCGGCGGCGAAGGCGCCCCGTGATGGTGCCCGAGCATCACCGTCGGCTTGATGTCGCACGAGCTGGCGCCGGATGCGCCCAGCGCGTCCTGGTGGTGCATGAACGCGCCCATTACCGCCGCGTGAGCGACCGCCGCCTGGTACTCGCTGGTAGTGCCGCCGCCCAACCCGGAAAGAGGATTACCGCTGTTATTATTATTGGCGCTCGTCGAGTTGTTATTGTTCGTGCTGGAGGTCGTGCTGGCGGTTATGCTGTCGGGCGTAGCGTCCTTGGGCGGTGTCGGCGGGAAGGAGAAGAGATGGTGGCCGCCGCCACCGTGACTCGACAAACTTCCACTGGTGGGCGCCAGCGAGGATCCCAGAGGACTCTGTGGCTTCTCGTCGTTCACAGCGCCTCCCGTAGTCGTCGTCGTCGTGGGGAATCCCCAGGGTGTCTTGGAGGTGTCCGCGCTGCCGCTGGACAGCCACGGATGGAGAACCGGGCTGTGGAAGTGCGGCCGGCAGACTTGGCTCACCGGCCCGCCCGACACGCTGCTGCTCGACATCCTTGCTGAAAAGCAAACGGAACGTGGAACGTTAGACGGGATAGCGTAATGCACGCGCAACGCGTTTAACATCTTAATTGAATAAATTCTCATCGCGAGCCCTGACGATCGTTACGCGTTACGATGCCGGCGAATAGTGCATTTCGCAATGCGACCTTCTTTATTCGTAAAATAAAACCAACGAAAATGAGCATCCTGCGTTTAAAGCATTGATCGCGCCGGCAATCAAAGCGAGTTTCATTGCCGCCTGCGAGCTGCCATAAATATTTTTAAGAACTCCGCCGTACGATGCAGGTGTCTCGCGACTCGCTCGGGTGTGCGAGAGTCGATCGCGCTTTATCTGAAAATGGCAGCCACGTGGAGTACAGACGCCGGCGTGGCATCTGTACACCGCGTAGCGCTTGCCGTCGCGAGAAGGAAGGACCTGACTCCCCGTGCGTGCTCGGAATGATCAGATTTTATGCCGATCGTAAAGGCTACCTAATTGCGGTAGACGTCTTAATTAAGTGCGAGGCCCACTCGCTCGGTACGGGGTATTATGGCCCTTCGTCCCCTTGTCCTTATAGACGCGCGGACGACGTGTATCACTCTTCGATCGACTTTGGAGCCACTCGCGATTCGCTTTACACACGACGAAGCGCTGAACCTGGGCGCGCGGGTTACCCGCGCATAATTAATTCTTTATTAGCAATCTTAATTTCGTTATACGGCACCGGCCAGCCGGCGTGATGCCACGCCGACGAGAGATCGCGTTTTGTGCGCGCACCGGCTAGACGACCCGCGCTCGTCCGTTTTATCGGGCTTATCGACAAGAAAGCGCACCATGTAAATGTCGGACCGAGAAATGGTGCCGTTCGCCTGACGCTAATTGCCCCCCCCCCCCCCCAGACTTCGAATTAGACCGCGTGTCGCACGGTGGTAGTCGCGCGAGCTTAATGATTTGCAATATCGCCGGTAACTTTTTTTTTTCATTCCCGATATAATGGCTGGTTTCATTTTAGACTCGCATTTTCCGTTTCTCGAACACACACGGGTTGTTGAAGCAAACTCGCGTCGCAGCGCGTGCAAGACATGTTTTGAAACTAATTAAAAAAAATTTTTTTTTTTAAATTGATATGTCGCTATAGTAAAACTCTCATGCGCTGATATAAGTACAATGCCATAAAAACAGCTATATCTCTTTAATGCAAAGATAATTAACAGCCGAAAAAGCTGGCGTGGCGTGGTTACGATGTCTAAAATTAGAGTTATATTTGTAGGACAAAAATGAATGGGCAATTACGGCCATCCTGCGACGATACGGTCACCTCTGTCATTAATGACGGTACAGAGAGCTCATAACGCATCAAATTAATTAGCCTCGGTTATTATCTTACGACAACAACAACGACGACGACGACGACTAATTAACCGATCCCCATCTTTCGCCGTCAGCCAGGAAAGTGCAGCGTTCTTAATATCCGTGCAAATTTGCGGATGCACATTGTTGCCAGCGAATACCAGAACGTGCATGCAACGCATGCAAACCTGCTTACTTGGCCCAAGTGGCCGATCGATATATCGAGTGGTTCTTGCTAACAACGCCCGCTCCACCACCTTCACGACATACGCTGATAACAAGATGATGTTTTGCTAAACCGCGCTCCGTCTTGCCTCCCTGGGCCTTCTGGGTCTCTCGAATTATGGACATTAATTCTGAGCCTCCGAACTCACGTCTGCGTTACGAGAATCTCGCACTTGGCGCAAACGTCGGGGGAGAGAAATTCCCGGAATCACATTTCCTCCGCGAATGTACGCGCAACGTACGCGAATACAAGTCTCGCGGTTTTTAATAAAATTTGCAAATTGAACATCCCCAGTAGTGACATCAGTCTCGACGAGATACAAGCGAAAAGCTCGTTGACGTATTGCGCGCCGCAAATGGCGGCGGCATCTGCGAAAAGCGCGCTGTCTAAATTTAGAGAAGCGCGAAACACAATATTACGAATACAGCGAGCGGCGAGATGAGCAGCTGCGGCTCTGTAATTAATCGGAGCCAACGATGGCCTGTCTGTAATTGGATCCGCTGCATCGCAGCGCAGCCGCAATGAAAAGTAAACAAGCTCTACGTGTAGCTACGCTTTCGAATCCTCGACTATTTCATTACACCTTGATATTCATCCCGCTGACGTTATGCAATATCTGTACGTTATTCTTTATAACGACAGCGCGCTGATGCGCGATTCTGTTTCCAGCAATTACTCGAGACGCTTATCACACAGGTTGCAATAGTTTTAGACGAAATATTGCTGACGGAATGATCGTGTCGAAGTCAGTCGTTTCACGTCAGAATCGCTCTTATCGTAACGACGAGCAAGATGGGAATCGAAGATAAGGGCGGAATGGTAGCGGCGAGAAATGCGCAGACAGAGAAGAACACTTCGCACTCTCAACGCAATAAAAACTTCCATGCTGAGCGATATTTATCGCTCCTCCTCCTCGACCCTCGTCGTCGCGACTCCGTTTTTTTACAGGATTTCACGGGACTTCTTGCCGGCTGGGCTCTCCCCCGCGACACGAAGCGACTCTTCCGTTTCCTTTCCGCTACCTTCGCCCATGTCGCCTCTGTCCCGCGCTGACGCGCTGACATAACTCTCGCGCGATTATCTCGACAATATTTCTGTCACTCTCGCAATTTTATCTGCGGCCCCCAATCGCTCGTGGAGCGGGCGTCGCAATATGGCTGATGGACAAGCGGTCAGCTGTTCGGTCATGTCTCCTCACCTCGCGCATTCCCGGCACTCTGGCGAACGTCGAAGGGCCCGGTTTAGCCCTATGATCTATCGCGTAAGGACAGTGAGCGGGATCGCTGTTGAGCGGCCCGACTGTTTACGATAAAGTCATCGAGAGTAATACCGCTTGGGTATCGTTTAAATCTCTCGCACATACAAGAGGAACGTAGCCATTAAAAGATCAGCCGTTTAAGCAACGCATGTTGTAAATCACGTTCGCCGTAAGCGGCAGCTATGCATTTTCGACGGATATGATTTGCTCGCTTCATGAAAGCCCCGCCGCCGGATCATCCAGAATAACGTTTCCATTCAACTCTTGTGGGGCTCAGGCTTTTACGAACCCAGAGCCGCCAGTTTTCACACGCGCAATAATCGCCCGCCATAAATCGCCCCGCGATCATCGCGCTGTCGAGCGCGAGCCGAAAACTTGGCAGCGCGTCGCAATAACGTTGTCTTGGACTAGAAGGACAAAGGAGGACGCGGACGAGCCGTATCATTATTGCGCTACATACATCTGGAGGAAGTTTTTTGAGCGTCCACTCCCAAGGCGCTCGTCAGGGAACGCGGACCCTACGTCCAATATACCGCCGCTCTCTTTCTTAATCGCGAATTCGTCTTTGTACTATTAAGGCAGGACTGCCCGTCGACCAAAAAATACCAGGCCCGAAAACAGACCCGCGATGCCCACGTACACGAACACAGCTTGTCGTATATTAACGATGACATTATGCTAACGACACCGATTTTCTCCGCGATATATTCTATTCTCGTATATCAAATTTCAACTCGCCATCAAGCCAGTCGGGAGAGAATGGGAAATCACAAATCACTTTCGAGGCACGGGACAGGTAAACCCGCTTAGAAAATACATTTTCTGCTGCGCTCTGTCGTTAGCCGCGTCGTTAAATTCCAGATATCGCCTCGCTTCTCGCGATATTATCCGATCGGCTGATTCCTAGATAATAACCGGAGGATTTTGCACGGTATCACGTTCGGCGGTATCATGAATATTCATGAAAAATCCGTGGATACGGTAACTGTTATATCGCGCGAACGAGATCGACACGACCGCGCAGATAACGTACTCGGTCCTTTGACCATATAATACGTTTGTACTTTTTTTTCCCCCCCCTCGCTAATACAGGAATGCCGGCAACGTGCGTCCGATCGTCGTAAAATTGCCGGCGATATTTGTAAATTTTTTGCCCGCAAAAAGGAAACGGGTCGCGCCACGGGCCACGCAAATTTGTATCCCGTCGCTCGGATTTAATAAGATCGCTCCGAGCGATCGGGGCCGATCGTTTCGGGCCTGGACTCTCCGTCTCTTACTTCAGCGTGCTTAAAATTCGCTCGTCACGGGGCGAGCGATACGCGCGATAACGTCAGAGACGGTCCACGCCTAAGAAGCGCGATCAAGATCGGTTGCGATTAATCGCTTACTCGATCTCGAGCCCGAGCCCAGCGCAAGATGATTCAGGAGCGCGCCCGCGCCCACGCTCGGGTTCGGCGAGTGTGCGTGCCGCGATCCCGCGCGTTACGTTGCCGAGAACAGGCGACATTCCGTAATAAATTAATATGATAATCGATACCGTCGGCGGGACTCCGGGCTCACGACGAACCGGAAATAAATCGGATTCATGGCGCACCTGCGGAACATTGTCGAGCGCGTTACTTTTTTTCCCTTCCGTTTTTTCTCCCCCTCTTTTTGCGCCGTGAAAAACCGCCGCACGGAAACTGGCGGCTATTACGTCATCAATACGCAATTCAATTGCGTCGATTTACATTTATATTACTCCGGTTGTGGACAAAGATCAAAGCGACGGAGTGAAAGCCGCGAAAGGCATTTTTCGACGAGCGAAACGACAAATTCGACGCGGGGAAAACAACGAGCGGCGATACGTTTTTCGAGTTCGCGAATATATATTCCCACTAGTCGTGACCGATTTCTTCGTCCTCTTTCTTTCTTTGCAGTTTCATTCATGCACCCACAGAAAAATTTTCCGGATTCAATTACTATTACACTTGAATGTATCATAAAATAGGATCGATATAGCGCCAATCATATTTATTACAAGTGCGTCAAGAATATTTTTTGTCTCGGTAACAGAAATCCTTTTTGAGGATGTATAATTGTTTGATTTATAGCTTGTAACGATTATTAAAATGAAAGATATAAGTAATGTGGTAATAACGAAGCGGAAACATTTATTCTGCGCATAACACTGTCGTAAATG